GTTAATTAAATGTTAAGAACTGAAAATTCTTTATAACAGGATGTATTTCCCTTTAAATTATTAGGTATGTCCCCTTTCTTATATCTAATCTTTATGAGTGTGATGGAATTGATCATTTTAAAAGATAGGACCTTTTTACCTTATTTCATTATTAAATACAGTTTGTGAAAGGTATAGTATGGGTCAAGATAAGGATTATGTTGAAGATATGTTGTGTATGATACTTTGCATATAGCTCAAATTATGCCAATATCTATATTGCTATGTAATGAAAAATAAGTGATTTGAAAATTTATGTTCCATTTCTTTTTCCTCTAGGTATTTATGAGCCTCCATTTCTTATACTACTGCAGTGAACCAACATTGGATGTGAAAATTGCCTTTTGTCAGGTGTGTGTTCCTTACAGGTAAAACAAGGTACAGTATATATTCCCTTGTATTTCCACTTTGACATACCATGTGCATACATTCCACACCAAAGTCAGTATTTATATCATATTAAAAGTAGTTTAGGATTGGGAGCTGGCAAGATAGCCAAATAGAAACAGCTCCACTCTGCAGCTCCCAGCGAGATCAATGCAGAAGATGAATGATTTCTGCATTTCCACCTGAGGTACCATTAGACAACTTCTGTAATCTCACTGGGACTGGTTACACAGTGGGTGCAGCCCACAGAGGGCGAGCTGAAGCAGGGTGGGGCGTCACCTCACCCAGGAAGTGCAAGGGATCAGGGAACTCCCTCCCCTAGTCAAGGGAAGCCATGAAGGACTGTGCCATGAGGAAAGGTGCACTCTGTCCCAGATGCTATGCTTTTTCCATGGTCTTCGAAACCTGCAGATTCCCTCAGGTGTCTAAACCACAGGGGTCCTGGGTTTCAAGCACAAAACGGGGTAGCCATTTGGGTAGACACCAAGCTAGCTACAAGAGATTTTTTTCATACCCTACTGGTGCCTGGAACACCAGTGAGACAGAACCATTTACTCCCCTGGAAAGGGGGCTGAAGCCAGGGGGCCGAAGCCAGGGGGCCAAGTGGTCTAGCTCAGCGGATCCCACTCCCATGGAGCCCAGCAAGCTAAGATCCACTGGCTTGAAAATTCTCACCCACAGCACAGCAGTCTGAAGTCGACCTGGGATGCTCAGGCTTGGTGGCGGGAGGGGCGTCTACCATTACTGAGGCTTGAGTAGGCGGTTTTCCCCTCACAGTGTAAACAAAACCGCCAGAAAGTTCGAACCCGGCGGAGGCCACTGCAGCTCAGCAAAGCCGCTGTAGCCAGACTGTCTCTAGATTCCGCCTCTCTGGGCAGGGCATCTCTGAACAAAAGGCAGCAGCCTCAGTCGGGGACTTATAGATGAAACTCCCATCTCCCTGGGATGGAGTACCTGGTGAAGGGGTGGCTGTGGGCATAGCTTCTGTAGACTTTAACATCCCTGCCTGCCGGCTCTGAAGAGAGCAGCAGATCTCCCAGCACAGCAATCAAGCTCTGCTAAGTGACAGACTATCTCCTCAAGTGGGTCCCTAACCCCACACCTCCCAGCACGGGTGGACAGATGCCTCATACAGGAGAGCTCTGGCTGGCATCTGGCAGGTGCCCCTCTGAAAAAACCTTCCAGAGGAAGGAACAGGCACAATCTTTGCTGTTCTGCAGTCTCTGCTGGTAATACTCAGGCAAACAGGATCTGGAGTGGACCTCCAGCAAACTCCAGCAGAGGGGCCTGTTAGATGGAAAACTAACAAACAGAAAGGAATAACATCAACATCAGCAAAAAGGACACTCACAGAAAAATCCCATCTGAAGGTAACCAGCATCAAAGACCAAAGGTAGATAAATCCATGAAGATGAGGAAAAACCAGCACAAAAAGGCTGAAAACTCCAAAAACCAGAATGCCTCTTCTGCTGCAAAGGATCACAACTCCTTGCCAGCAAGGGAAAAATTTTGTTCTATTTTGTTAACCTTTTCAAAAAATCAGCTCATGGATTAATTGATTTTTTGAAGGGTTTTTCGTGTATCTATCCTTCAGTTTTACTCTGACCTTAGTTATTTCTTGTCCTCTGCTATCTTTTGAATTTGTTTACTCTTGCTTCTCTAATTATTTTAATTATGATGTTAGGGTGTCGATTTTAGATATTCTTCACTCTCTCCTGAGGGCATTTAGTGCTATAAATTTCCCTTTAACCACGGCTTTAGCTGTCTCCCAGAGATTCTGGTATATTGTGTCTTTGTTCTCCTTGATTTCAAATAACTTATTTATTTCTGCCTTAATTTACCCAGTAGTCATTTAGGACCAGAAACAGCATTTGACCCAGAAATCCCATTACTGGGTATATATCCAAAGGGTTGTAAATCATTCCATTATAAAGACCCATGCACAGGTATGTTTATAGCAGCACTTTTCACAATAGCAAAGACTTGCAACCAAACCAAATGCCCATCAGTAATAGACTGTATAAAGAAAATGTGGCACATACACACTATGGAATACTATGCAGCCATAAAAAAGATGAGTTCATGTCCTTTGCAGCGACGTGGATGAAGCTGGAAACCATCATTCTCAGCAAACTAACACGGGAACAGAAAACCAAACACCCCATGTTCTCACTCACATGTGGGAATTGAACACTGAGGACACATGAACACAGGGAGGGGAACATCACACACCAGGGCATGTTGGCAGGTAGAGGGCTAAGGGAGGGATAGAATTAGGAGAAACACTTAATGTAGATGATGGGTTGATAAGTGCAGCAAACCAACGTGACATGTGTATACCTATGTAACAACCCGCATGTTCTGCGCATGTATCCCAGAACTTAAAGTATAATTAAAAAAAAAAATAGTTTAGGAAATGGAAGTGAATAGGTGTGTTGTTTCTAATTCATTTAAGTTAGAATGGGAATAAAGGTATTTTTTTCAAGTTTTATTGTAAAGTGATTTCTTCTTTGATTATATTTACACTTCAAGATTTTAATATTTCTTTTCAAATCCTTGAAATGGGACTTTAACCATAAAAATGACTTCATTCTGAACAGTTGTCCCCCCTTATCCGTGGTTTCAGTTTCCACAGTTTCAGTTACCCACTGTTAACTCTGGTCCTCAAAATATTAAATTGAAAATTCCAGAAATAAGAACTCATGAGTTTTAGATTGCATGCTGTTCTGAGTAGTGTGAAGAAATCTTGTGCCATCTTGCTCCATCCCACTTAGGTTGTGCAGCATGTCTATATAATGCCACCTGCCAGTGAATTACATAACAGCCATCTCTGTTATCACATTGACTGTTGTGGTATCACAGTGCTCTTGTTCAAGTAACCTTTATTTTACTTAATTTTTCTATTTTTTATTAGTTATTGTTGTTAATATCTTACTGTGCCTAACTTATAAATTAAACTTTATCATAGGTGTATATGTATAGGGTTCAGTGCTATCTGTGGTTTCAGGCATCCACTGGGGGGTCTTAAAATGTATTCTCTGAATATAAGGGGAGACTACTGTAGTATTTCTCATCATAACAACTGATTGGCCTCAAATAGAGTATCTCTAAACCCACTATAATAATATACAGGTGGTACTCAGTTTGTTTTGTGATGCCTAATTCTAACCAGTACTTATAATAGTAAAAATGTTAACCAACAATAATGACAAATAACGGTATATTTAACCTAGAAGGGAAAGTAAGAAGGTGGCAACAACGTTTGGTAGTGTGCATGGACTAGATAAGAGTTGACTTCTTTGTATTCATGCGAACCCTATTTTTAAGGAGAAGTCTCCCTAGGGCACCTACATATATTTCAAGTATGTTTAAAACAGTTCTAACTTAACCCTGTTGTCATATATAATTGATAGTACTCTCTTTTACTCTCAAGAATTGTTCTAGTTTGGACAATAAATTATATGTTAACCTTATTCATACTTAAGCAGAGAGCTTCCTTTCAGTTTTTCAGCGGTGATTATCATTGCACCTTCTCTTTGAGCTGTGTTGTAAATAGAGACTGACATGCATTTCGAAACAAGATTTTTAAAATAACTCCTTTGCTTTATTTTAATGCAATTTTTCCTGATTCTAGAATTAATATTTATTATAGAAAATATAGAAAAGCATAAAGGGGAACAAAACATAGTTTTTGCATATACTCTTTACTTACTGTATCTACTCTCCTTGAGCATAGATTTTCTATGACAAAGGAAAATGTGTTACCTGCTATAAATAAGATTTACTGATCTCTCTCATCTCCCTAACCTGTAATTGTTGCAGTTCCTGAAGCCTCAGGCCATTAGACAACTTCTCTAATAATAACTCCAGTGCTAAACAGCCTTGGTTAAAAATTCCATTTCTATCACTTACTAGCCATTTGCTTGTGACCTTGGGCAAGTTACTTGATCTCTAGTGCTTCAGTTTCTTTATTTATAAAAGGAGGAAATAATAATGCCTACATTTTAGGCTTGGTATGAGAATTAAATGAGTTTATACTTGCAAAGCACTGAGAGCAGTACTGGAACATGTGTTTGTTAAATAGATGATTAAATTTTAAATAAATTTACACTCACTCTCTGGTGCTCCCACTGAGTCCCAGTGCTTTAAATATTATCATTATCTTGAATATCACACAGTTTTATCTCCAACCCAAATATTTTCCTGGAACTGGACTCATGTTCAACTGTCTGTTCTACATCTCCACTTAAATGTCAAATAGGCATATCAGACTGTACGCATTCCAAAGCAACATCTCATCTATCCTCTAAAATTACTCTTCCCATTGTCTACTCTAGCTCAGTAACTGATAACTCCACCCTTCCAGTTATAATAAAATCCTTGGAATCATCTTTTGGGTCACATTCCATATTCAAGCCATCAGCAAATTCTGTTGACTCTTAATTAATTAAAACCTAACTGGAATCTCACCAATTCTCACTATTTTTCCACTACCACCCTGATCCAAGATACCCTTATCTCTTGCTTAAATTATTGTAAGAGCTTCTACTTTTGCCCACCCCCAAGTGGTTTACTCTTAAAACGTTAGAAAGAATTGTCTTTGAAAAATATAAGTGTGATCGTGTCACTCCTTGACTAAAACTAAAACAAAAGAGAAAGACCTTTCAATGTCTTCCCATCTCGCTCAGCAAAATCTTTATAATAAATCCTTATAATAAATCCCCAGGCCTTTATTATCTAGCCCCCTAGAAACCTCTATCCTAAAATGTTCTTCTGTTATCCACTTGGACCACTCCTTAACCATCTTCACAGCTTCGCTCAAATGTCATTTTTAAGGAAATATTTCCTGACAACCCTATTTCAAATTGTCCTAACCACCCGACTGCATACCCAACTTCCCTGCCTCCGTAACACATCAGAATCTAATGTTCTATTTATGTTGCTGGTCTGGAATTTTGCTTCCCTCTCTCCACTGGAATGCATTTTGCACA